TTAAAATGTCCTACAAAAAACACCATAACATGGACATTTTTTCCCAGGTATGTTCTAATGGTTAAGTTTATCTTAACGATCATACAGATTTAGCTAAACTGACCTTTGCTCCCAGGTGCCAGAGATGGACGAGACATATGCAGAGGACAGCTTTGTTGTTGGCAGCGATGAAGAAGAGCTGGTGTGTAATGAGGAAGAGCCTGAAGACATCGAACTTCTCCCCGAGGTGTCATACATGGATGGGAGAAGGCAGTATGCAACCAGACGGCGCGTTTTTCTGCACAAAGCTAGAGCAAAGGCCGGAGCTGAGAACAGAACTGAGTCTGCTGCAGAGCAGAGGACCAAAACCAAACGCTCCCGGGTCATCTGCTTAGACGATTCCAGCGAGGAGGAGACGGGGGACGAGTGCAAAAACAGGGGTTCATCAACAGCTGGCAGCGCTGTCCCTTTACAGGCAAACAGGCCACATCCTGAACCCAGTGGGCAGAAATCCACGTCCTCTGCATCTGTAACCATAGCAACTAAAATCTCATCGTTGAGTAAAGGACAGAGGAGTTCACTGAGTGAAGAGCAGCAAAATGAGAGGTAAGAAATTGAACAACTTTATAACTACCTGGCTGCAGGCACTGAAACACATCATCTACTGATGTCATCATCTAAAGAGCTTCTTCGTTGTTTATTTAAAGCAACTCTGTGTCACTTTAACTTGAAAATGTGCTTAATTTTAGAAAAAATGTTATGGTTTTTCAGGCCTATAAGCACCACTCTGTAACTATAGAGGGTTGGATCCATCTCTGAATGAGTCATGTGACCCAGAGCGCCGCTTTATGGCAGTCTTAGCTCCACTTTAGCACCAAAGCTAAGAAAAAAGAACAAAACAGATATGACACCTGCTCATCTTTGATTCTCTGCTGTAGGATTTAATCTTATCTTTATAAGAAACTCCAAAAGGTCTGCCATCAGATTCTAGAACTGATGGAGCTTTTTTATTTGGCAACAGCACAACACTGCCAGTTGTTTTCAGGGGCACCAAACCTGGAAGTTAAAGATCAAGCGCCCCCTAGTGGCCGAAAGCTACACTGTTGTTTCAATTACCGTAACAGATACAGTAACAGAACAAGGTGAGAAACTTAGTTTGTGAGTTTGGCTTTAAGTCAAAGTCAGATATTTCATATCAGCAAAACAAATATTATACGTTTTCAAAGGTTATACGAATTATATCCCTTCATATAGTCTCCTTTAACAACTGCATTTTGTTTTAGTCTTGGTGTATTTATCCTGGTTAAATTTGTCTGATGATCTGAAAAAGAGGAAATCTGCCGTGGTAGCAGTTTTTAAACAGAAAACAAACACTACTGAGACTTGAAGTTACACAGGAACAGATTAACCCTTCACTGTTTTTTTTTTTACATGTGTTTAAACCAACAAGCCTCTCAGATATTAGAGCTTCCAAGGTACCATATGGCTGCTGTCTGTGCTCTTTAAGGTGTTTTCACTTATAACATAATCTGCTTTTGATTTACAGCAGAGATATTTTTTTTCTGAAACCAGGTCGCCTGGAGAAAGGGTTCTGATCATTCTCTTCCTTTTCCCCGCAGGTGTCGTCGAACATTAGAGAATCAGCATCTTCTCTCTGATGAGCTCGACTTCGCAGCACCAAAGCCAACTATAAATGCAGCAAAAGAATATCAGGTACTGTCCTAAGGACGATAAAAAGTCCCCCTCCCTGTGTGTGTGTGTGTGCAATAGCGACCTATGACTTTAACTCTGCAGGGACTCCCCACAACCAAAGCACCTCAAAGCTCCACTGCTCAGGCTCCATCAATGAACGGGCCGCCATCGCCGTCCGGGTCTGTCTCCATCTTGGTGGACAGCCGCTGCATCAGTAGCGGCGTGGAGCTGATGACGAGTCTCCGTCAGCGACACGGTGCCAACGTCCACGTTTGCTCGCTTGACAGCAGCTACTTCATCGTAAGCAACCGCATGGCCGTGGAAAGACTCAGCCAATCAGATTTAGCCGCAATGCAGAACCGGAAGCGACTGGTGGAGAGGCTGAGCAGCCTGCAGGGAATGTTTGAACGGGTTTGTGTAATAGTGGAAAAAGATCGGTCCAAGCAGGGTATGTTTTAAAAATGCATTTCCTGTTTTAACCAGTGTCACACAGAGCTGATGCCCATCGTTCATGTTGACCTTGACTGTTACAGGTGAAGTTTCCCGTCCCTTCCAGCGCACACGTTACTATGACAGCACTATAGCAGCTCTGGTTCGTGCAGGGATCCGCCTGCTTTGGAGCGATGGTGCTGAGGAGAGCGCTGGCTTGTTGGCGGACCTGGCGAAGCTGGAGCACCGTAAAGGTCAGGGCATCGCTGTGCCGCTGGAGGTCAAAGGGCAGCGAAGGCAGCAGACCCTGCAGCTGTACCAGAGTTTACCTTGGATCAGCCATGTGCACGCGCTGAACCTGCTGCACAACTTTAGCACCATCGCCCAGCTGATAAACAGGTAAATGTTCTGCAAGAGAAACTGCCCCATGTTTCTATGCACTCTGGATATGTTTAGATTCTGAAAAAAATATCTTTAAGATCTAGAAGGGGCGGGGCTTTTTACTTAGTTTCTTAACTCTAAATGAACTGTCTTAACTGTCCTTCTAAATAAATGTTGACCTTTTGACCTTGGCTCATAACAAAAGCTTCACAAACACCGAACTGATTGATACCAATTAAGTTTTAATTAGAGGAGGTGAAGCGGCTTGTTGACCTTTGGTGTCCTCTGGAAGGTTTTATTCATTTCTCTAAAGCTATAGCAGCACAAATGAGAATTTAACCCTCCAGTTTGCATCCATCCAGTCGCTCATCAGTTGTAAATTGCTTTTCTATCCATTTTCACCTTTAGCCCTACATCCATCCTTTTTCAAATTCTTTATCGAATACTCTGCAGATAATCTGTGTGATATGTTTTCATTTAACAATATTAGGACAAAGAAGTCAGAAATTTGGTCAAAGTAGATTTGTATTAACCTTGAATTTTATCTGCGTGTTGTTCTACCTGCAGCTCTGTAGAGGCAATACAGAAAGGAGGCTGCATGAGCAGAAGCAGAGCTGAGGAGATCTACCGCTGCCTGCGTTACAGCTGTGACTCCTCCTTCCTCTTGAACACTTCAAAAGCAGGAAAAAACAGCTAGAGCCCAGATGGAGACGAACCGGTTAAAACCTTAAGATTGTTTTATGCACAACTTAAAACCAGCTGAGCTTTATTTCTCTTTTTTTCTCCAACTTATTTGCCAAGGACGTACATATTGAGACTCAAAAGTGCCTTAATTCAACAATAATCTAATAAAAAGGGCTAAAGAAAATTGTTCCTTACATATTTATTTCACTGCATTTAAATTGCATTTTGCTTTAAACCAGGTAATTTGTCTGCAATGGATTTTATGTACAGGTTAACCAATTTGATTATACCTTTAAAAGCTGACAGTATTTCCAAAAGGATAATAGTTTTAAAATTTCTGTTAAAAATATGCATTAACTGAATTATGGCACTTTAGTCCCTCAATACAGCGATACCAGTTACTGTGTAACTATACCACCTGTGCTGACCTCAGTGAGAGAAGAGGCTCATCTTTTACACAATAAGTTAAAGCACAGATATCTAAATATTAAAGTTAATGGATAACATTTTATGTTTATCTTTTTCCCAATGCTCACTGGTTTCATTTTTACACCGACAGCAATTCTGTGACAGTATTAGCAACACTATGATCTCAATCAAGACATTTGAAGTATCATTTTGTATCATAATGTGTATATTATTTCTAAATGTACATAGCTGCAAAAGATGGAAATGTTTCTTTAATAAAACCAGTTATTAGCTTTTTTATATCCCTGCTTCTGCTGATCAACAAATATCACTAGAGGTCATTGTCTCCAACAGGTTTGTATGCAGCTTGAATCAACTCCTGCAAATTAACTCTTGAAAAATAAGTCTTTATTTTCAGCAGGTTTTTTCAAGGAACTACAGTCAAAAGGCTACTTTAGTGCAAAGTATTGTACACAATCAAGCACAGAACACAAAGCAGCATTTGATATCTAAAGCATCCCAAAAGTATATCAAATCATTTCCACCTATAAAAAAAATGCAAAAGAAATTACAAAACTACAGATTTACAGCTCATACTGAAGCCTTGACAAAAATATGGGGGGAAAAAAAGAGCAGTTTCACATTACGTACACTGTGTTCACTCTGCAATCCAACATCTGCATCATCTACACACAGGTTCCTGTTTCTGCATGTCTGGTTTGTGTCCCCCCTGTTCACTTTTCTCCATATTTTAAATTTTATATGCAAACATTCATCGTAAACAGTCAAATAAACCGGTCTTTCAAAAGGGCAGCTACTCCAGTCTGGTGGGTTTATTGGGTGGTGCTGATTGGACAGAGCTGGTCTGATGCTGCACCCTTGTGGACAAAGTGACTCCTGCTGACAAGGAAATAGTTCATTTGGATTTTGAAAATCCCGTTTCCAACAACTTTAGTAGTTTAAAGCAAAGCAAAAAAAAAAAAAATCCAACTGGTACAAAACAAAGTCAGACTTCTTTTGCTTCAACCATACATACGGTTATAAGGTGCTTCAGTAAAAACAGACAGGAGGAGGCCGCTTTACTTTTGATTTAAGCTCGGATTAAATACTGGGAAACTACAGAAAGATCTGATCCAAAGAGGTTTATGTAACAGTGTGCTAAGAGAATCTGAACTACATTCAGAGTGAGGTGAGCCTCACACAGCCAAAACACAAAGTAAAGTTCAGTGACCTTAAAAAAAAAAAACAAATAGAATTACCCTTTGGGAACTTTCTGCAATATCAACATCTGTATTTAAGCTGTTATTGCAAGATGCCAAATAATCAAATGATACGATTATTTTGCTAATCAATTAATCGATTGATTATAATCAGATTTTGTTAAGAGATTTTTTTAACAGATTTAAACCAGGTAAAACTAAAACTTTTCCACTTGTGGATGGAGCACATTAACAGGTGAAAATTATTATTTTTTATCTTGAATGCAAAATATATATATATATATTTTTTACAATTTTAATATAACTTCTGCTCTAAGTGGGTTTTTATCTGTCAGCTAAAGGCATGATTTATAGTCTCTATACCCCAGTCAACGATTACCCTATTACTGAATTAGTTGAAATTTAGTTCAATCGATTAATTGTTTCAGCCCTAGATTTAACATGTTTTAGTAAAATTTTACTGCTATAAAAAAAGAACAGAGCTGCACTGATTTGGATGCATAACTGTTACTTTTTTGGCTACCAAGTATTTGAATGCACAATTCAGCATGTGCAACTGCTAACCGGGATACCTTCTAACAGGTATGACTCCATTCTGACCTAAACACTTATTTTTAAACCATACATGTTGGTAATCATCACAGTCACAGTACAGTTTTCTAATGTTTTGAGAACTTGCTCTTTGTACAAAAGCACGTGTTAAAAAGAATCCATTTATATACAAATGCAGCTTTTAGTAAAAAAAAAAAAAAGTTTATTTAAATACCACGGATGGATGGGTCCTCACCTGAACAGGTGGCTCATCAGCAGTCAGCTGTCTATAGTCATTATGAACAGCTAACTGACCACAAACCTGCCTGCCTCTACATGCTGGTGGGCTGCGTCTGCTGCTGCAGAGGCTGCAGCTGCACAGGCTGCGGCTCTGATGTCGGCATGCTGCATTCCTCCTCCCGTCGCATGTACATTAAAAACAGAGTCACTGTGGCGAACGTTGTTGCGTTCACCGGAAACGCACGGAGCAGCGTGGACGTGAGCCCGCGGGTGAAGACCCTGTAGCCCTCCTTCTGCACGCTCTGCCTGACGCAGTCCATGATGCTGCTGTATTTGTTGACGCCCCCGACTCCGTCAGCCTGCAGACGCGACTTGATCACGTCCACCGGATAGGTGGAGAGCCAGGAGGCGATGCCGGACATTCCACCAGCAAAGAGCAGCTTTGGGATCATGTAAGGGTCTTCTGGCTCACACCCCAGTGAACGCGTCAACACGTCGTACGCCAGGAAGTACACGCCGAAGCCCGGCGTCTCACGCACCAGGGTGGTCACCATGCCGCGGTTGATCCCCCTGAACCCTTCCCTCTTATAGATTCTCACCAGGCAGTCCAGGGAGTTTTTGTACATCTTCTTCTTTGACTTTTTCTCCCCGGTTCCCTGCATCTGCATGCGCGTCTTGGCCAGCTCCATTGGGCAGCAGATTACACACTGGATTGCTCCAGCGGCAGCTCCAGCCAGGAACTGGTTGAGAGGCGTGTCGTTGCCAAGATGCCGCATAGCGTTGCCTTGGACGCCAAAGACTATCGCATTGATGAAAGTCAGGCCCATCATTGGAGAACCGATGCCTTTATACAGACCAAGCATCTGCAGACAGGGAGAGAAAGAGTCAGGCTCTAAGTCAAAGTTTTGTTGACATGCAAAGCAAAGTTAAAATTATTTGTTAAAGGTGTTAAGGTACAGTATAGCAGTCCAATTTGCATAAAATAGACAGCAACATGTGGGACGAGAGTTTCTTAAAGCTCTTATGATGCAGCAGAGGTTTAAATGTTGCAAAAGCCAAAATCAAAAAGTTAGAAATTTGGCTGAACCAAATTCTGCTTAAAAAAAACAAAAACAAAGGGTCCAACTAAAGCACCAATAAAAAATATTCAGTTTGAGCCCAAACCTGCCAAAAAATAAACAGACTAGCAATTAAAGGTACATTCAATTACTTCACTATATATAGTAAATATAAACATAAAAAAAGTTGTTTTTTTTTAGGATTTTATTAATAATTTTACATTTGTAACTATTTAAGAAGACATTTATTTAATGGTGCATGGTTGCTGGTGTAAATGTTGATGTAAAAAATATTTGAATTATGAATTATTTCATAATCCAAGCATTTTATAAGTTTCAGTTTAGTTTTTGTTATATTTTTTTCCCTTACACCACTTACCGCAGGCAAAACTAGAAAAAAATAGGAATAAAAGAATAAAAATAGGAGATAAAATCCAAGATAAGGACACTCAGCTACAGCAACACGATTGGCCCAGTCACTACCCGATCCGTCCTCCGCATACGCGAACAGATATACATCCGGGTGTCCAAAAAGAATGTAATTATGGTACTAAAATTAGTTATTTCTATCTTTAACTCACTAAAGAATGCTAATACACATCTTTAAACAAATGCTTTATGACTTTTGTGAGACAATGTTGATGCTTTTCACATTTTCTTTGTTAAACTGCTTGTCTGACGTCATCATGGGACATGCTCAGAGCAGACTGCTTGTCTGACGTCATCATGGGACATGCTCAGAGCAGTCTGGCAAAATATGATTAAACCATGTTAATCTTCATTTTAGTTGTTTCTTTAGATTACGCTCTATATACTAAAAGTTTAAATCCAAAGCCGAAAACGTTAGCCACAGGAAGTAGCGTAGGATCCCATTTCCGGTGCAGAGGCAACTGATAAAACTGGGAGGATTTTAAGGCATTTATTTATCAGGAAATACATTATTAACCTTTAACACATTATATTTTAGTACGTTTACCATTTTTGATGGAGGAAAAACGTCATTTAGGGCTTAATAACAAAATAAAATCGAGGGCGACCCAGATCTAGATGTGTAAATGAGAACGGATCGTAATTCTGTGACAGACTTGACTGCCTTAGCTGCCATCTGCTGTTTTAGGGGGGTACAGTGAGAAAAGAAACAAGAAACTAGACCTTATATTTGTGATTAATGATAAAGATTCAAACTTAATTTACCTTTAACTCATTATGTAAACTTCTATTACAGTTTTTTTTTATTCTATTTGTCTGTTAAAAATATTTTGTAATTTGTTTTTGTCATTTTATTAGTTTTAGTTCATATTTGTTCAGTGAGTCTATGGTTCGATCAGCTTCGTGTTTTTTTTTTTGTAACACGGCCTTAAGCTGACCAATGACCCGACAGCGGCTGACTGTCGGGGGTAATAAAGCAACATGATTGGCTTAGAGCCGTAAGAGCGCAGCCAGAGACACATTATTATGCAGGGCTGAGAATAAAACTGCTATAAACCAGAATCATATTGTGCTTTCATCAAGCCGAAGCATCTTTCATGTTTGTTTCGGACCAATGTTTGGATCAAAGGTGGGGTGGTCTGGTGCACATCTTTATTTTTGGGGTATCATAGTAAAGGAGACTGAAGATTTTCTACAAGGTTTGTGATGGGTGCACCATTTTCCTTCTACTTCACAATCCTGCGTCACATTGAATCACATTTAAATGCATCCAAATTTCTGTGTGCAATAAAAATGAGGTTTGATCATAAGCTGGAGGACAGAGTAGAGCTGAAATGCTACATAAGGTGAATCATAATTCCCCCATATGCCAAAGCAATGAGCCTGAGCGTACGCCACAAATAGCACATATGTCTCCCGCCTTATTTAGCCCATGCAGGATTGAGGCCTCACTGACCCCGGCTGACAGGGACGCCTCGTTTGCTTGCTGATGCATGTAATCGCAGATAGGACCGTAACCAGACACTCGAAAAGATCTGCGCAAGTGAAACCTTCATGTAAAACCCTGGAAGGAGAATTGTAAGCTACACTTACCGACTCCTGGCGTACAATTGACTGAAAGCAGTGAAACGTCCCACGGTAAAGAGGTTTGTCCACATTTTGTACCTGAAGCCGCACCTGAGGATGACAAGGCGAACGTTAGCGCTGCATAGAGGGATGTTTGAAGCCCCAAAAATAAAACCCATAGAGTACAAAGCAAAACTCTGTCATGTACATGTGCAGGGAAATAAGCAGACATTCACTTTAACCGTTTGTTTCAGGGTTATAAATGCTTATGGGGTGCAACATGTGGGAGAAGAGTAAAAAAATTAAGAAAAAAAAAAAAGAAGAAAAGAAAAAACGCCTTCTTGGCTTTATGTTTCTATAGCTGAAGACAGGACATTGGGTGAGATAAAGAAAGACCTGGACCATACTTACTAGGTCACATTTCCGTGGAGAGGTTGTTTATTTCTCTCTCTCATCTACAACACAGTGACACTGTAGCTGTTAAAGACAGCCGCCCCGAGCCCCAAGCAGACGCCGGCTCAGGGAGAAATGACATCAAAAGCAAGGTGTAAAGAGAACTACAACCAAAAAAAAGCCATTCACCATCTTCGTGTTCCTTTAAACAAGCTCAAACTAAGTCACTAACACATTTGCCTTCATATGAAGCTTTCTCACCTTGCCAGGATTTTTCGAACAGACATATGTGACTCTGGATTGCTTAAGAAGCTAGTGGCTTCAAGAAAAAAACTCCAGACTATCAGTGATAGAATGTTAAGGCCTTTTTTATTTTAGTTAAAAAACAGAACATTTTGTACTTAAAAACTTAAGTTTAGTAACTTGGTAACTTTTGTACTTAAAAAAAAGAAAGGTTCCATTCGATTAGGGAGTCTTATTCCTTTAAATGAAGCCAGTCTTTCAGAGGCCTTCCTCTCAATAAGCAGTTATTGCTACTTTATGTAAACTTTTCATTTTTTAGCACCTTTCTAGTTAAACGCATTTAATGATAAACATGCAAAGAAAGTTTTTAAGTTCTTAGTTTGTCAAGTATTATCAGCCAAAAAATATTCACACTGGGTTTACATAGCTTTATAATTAGAAACATAAGTTGTTCTGGCTTAACACTGAAACACCAACTGTGTTAATTAACCCTATTATTGCCTAACAAGATTAAAAGTAAAGAGGAATTAGCAAACACCCACCTTTACAGTATCGAATGGATGCCCGACCAAAACGCCAGCAGCACCTGCAGAAAATGGAAGAGATCGAAATTCAGATTATTTTATTTTTATTATTTATTAAGAAAAAAACGGGTTACATGAAATGCTGGAGTTGGACTCAGAACAGCTAAGCTGAATGTTTTTAGTGAGATAACACTGATCTGACCTTCATTCTGCTGAGAAGAAAACAATGCAAAACACCGAGTAATCTAATGCCCCCTCTCATTTCTGCACACCGCCTGTCAGCTGGCTGAAAGAGGGCTCCTACTTTCTCCCTCAGGCTGACAGAAAACGACCTCGAAATGTCTTGAAAAAATGTCTTGAGATTGCCAAGACATGGTGTGGAAACGGAAGGAGCACCACCCATCACTTTAATTATGGATTGATTAAGATTGGGTCCATTTAAATATCATGTTGTTCTGTTTGTGTGTAATTATGTAGATCATATGTTGGATAGCAATGGGGTCACGTTTGTAATTGTGGAAAGCACCATCTGAATTAAAATAATGGTATGAAAAGAGCTTTATAAATAAAGTTTTATTGATTGATTTAATGGAGTGGCATCGTTTCAAATTTACAGTCAAAATGTTTTAAATGTTTTCATGCCTAATACAGATTTCTTTCATATTTGCATATTCTGTCTCACCTGGAGAAACAGGTAACAGAACCGGACTGACAGCACGAAGTAGGGTAAAATATATCAAACACCAGAAACATTCTCTAGTCTAACCGGAGAATCCTGTTGATTGTTATACCATGAAAATGTACTGATTTCCTAATTAGCAGCTGTGCCCCATTTCTTTTTGTCTCTGTGAAATTATGAACTTTTGTCCTCTGGCTCTGTGTTTTGGTACGGAGTCAAACCGTCAGTTGGTCAGCGCACTGAAAGCAGTGACGTCAGTTGTAGTGTGGCTCGTCCTTGACTCGTGTTAACGACCCCAAAACTATTTTACAGCAATTTTGCTGCACTGTGGGTCAAAATAGCTTTTTATTGCTCATTGAAATCAAAAACTCCTTATGTTTTCTAAAAAATAAATTCCTTGAAAATGCAGAGCTATTCCTCCATGAACATCAGGCCATTGTGATAAATGCAAATACCTCTGCTGGTTTTAACTTGTTTAAAGTAAACCTTGTGAGTGAGCTACTGACTTTGGGAACATATTTCAAAGAGAGTTAATAAATCCCTGCGTCAATAGAACACATAAGTGGGTCATTTCTGGAAAAACAAGTAAATCATTGTATTCTATGCAGAATGCAAATCAGACTTTGGCATTTTTCCTTTTTCTGTGGTGATCGCTTTCATTCAGAGGGGATCTTTATGATAATTTTTTTTTTAAATCAACAATAGGCAGTCAAAACTCCAACATTTGATTCTGAAAACAGCAAATAGTTTCAATGATGAGGTTTCTTCATCTAAGCATCTCTAATTACAGGAACCACAAGGAACTCAGTGACTCAATTAAAGCAATCGAGAGCTAAAGGTAATTTCACAATAACAGCAGTTCGTAGGAGTTTGCCTTTATTTTTTAATCAGTAAAAATTATCAGAACAAAAGTTGATGCAATCAACCATCCAGTCGCCTTTGAGGGTGTAGGGATGACTGCTCCCCAGTGGTGTCAAAAGTACGCACATTTTTTTAGGCAAGTAGAAGTATAGATACTGCAGTTTAAAAACACTGGTAAAAGTTGAAGTATCAACTTGACCTCTTTACTCAAGTAAAAGTGAAAAAGTATGTGCTCCAAAAACTACGTTAAGTATAAAAGTATAAAGTAACCTTTAAAAAAAAAAAAAAAAAAAGCCACTATATGAATTGAAAGCTAAATTTTTCGACTATTTCATAAATTCTTTGAGATAGATGGAGAGATAGGATGAGGGAGGTCTTTTTGGTCTCCATCTCCCAATACGCTCTCACCTGTGTCCGACCTTTCAGACATTTCAACATCTTTTTCTGAATCCTAGCATGGCATAGACAATACACATTTGCAGTTTAAAGAACTCCTGCTTGCTTCTGATGATTTCCTTTTGGTAACAAATGAGTGTTTGCATTCTATGACTCATCCAATTATACCGGTTTTCACTAGATGTGGATGGCGCCAGTGATTGGCAATGGATGGCGCTCATGACGTGAAATAAATATTTATAAACATTAAACTGAAGCCAAAATGTAACGAATAGAAAGTAGAGATACTTGTGTGAAAATTTAATGAGTAGAAGTCAGAAGTAGGAAGAAAAATAAAGTATAGATACCTAAAAAGTGTACTTAAGTACAGTAAAGAAGTATTTGTACTTTGTTACTTCACACCTCTGCTGCTCTGTTAGTAAATACATTTTACTAGATATACTTTATAAATTGATCCAACTCTAATACAAACAATTCAAGTTGGTTTTGGTCCAAATGCTTTTTACCCTCAATTATGAAATAGAGCTGTCTGTCTCTAGTAAAGCACACAGATGCTTTTTGTTGCAAATTATCATTTTATAAATAGCCCATCCTAAATGAAAATCCACATTATGATCTCACACAAAAACATGTTATGTTATCTAAAAACACCTTGCCTGTGCCTACTTTTCCACTATGGATTAGTATATCAATCAGTGCAGGTGTTGGTATAGTGGATCTCTCAGCCAGATTTCAGATCAATCATGTCATGTAGTGCCACATCAGGTTGAATCTGTTCACCTTCTATCAAAAGCTGTGCATACCCTGTTTGCAAAAGGCCTTGGGGAGGAACAAAACAGCTGACAGGATTCCCAAAGGTTCCTGGTGCTGAGCGTCAATGAAAGTACATTTACTGAGAAAGCAATGAAATCTGTTATGAAGGTCATTCCTGCTAATTTTACTGCTCAAAAGAAACTTTTCCATACTTCAAACTTAAATTTCCCAGTTTCTGATATTTTTTACACTAGGTTACTCTAGGCTTCTTGTTCAAACAGTGTAATCTGAAACCCAAAGTATCTGAGAACCAATTTCTGAGTTAATCCCAGGTCTTTTTAAAGGAAAACTCCCAAAAGATGGAGGCTACTGGTTACAGGACAGATGGAGCACATCATGATAGCCCAGGTTTAACCCGGCAGCAGTGAATCGGAGCAGAATGATGCCGTTTCCTGATCCAGCTGGAGCAGATCTGAGGAGCACCACTCCCTGGATCTTAGCTGCAGGTTAGAAATCCCAAAAAGCCGCATCCGGGTTTGCTCCCAGCTTCAGTAAACTAGCTCAAAACCCCCTTCCTCCCATCCCAGCGTCTTTTTAACCCCACTTAGCTCAGGATTTAGGTCTGAAACTCGCAGTTTCTTCACCCCCATCAGCTGAATGAGCTTCCTCGGCCCCTAGATGGAAAATAACCACCGAGGCTAATGCTAGCAGCGATGCTAACCCCACACCCGAAACCACTCACCTCCAATGCATCCAGCAGCGAAGTCCAGGGCCATTACTTTAGAAAATGCACAGATTGGAAGATTTACTATTGGTTTAAATTATAGGAATATGTAATTCGCCACGAATTTTTAAAAATTGGCTAGCTCTGAATCAGATTAAAGCTAACTATTTACCCCCCGGGCTCGGTGGATTGATGGGAAGGTAAACAGTTAGTCCTGCTAATAAAAGAGCCGCTATCACTTGGAGAAGATTGTCTTATTATTTTCCTCCTATTAGACTCGCTCTTCCTGCTGGACCTTTCTATTTCTGTGAGGCGGAGATTGTAGCGGAAAGCAGGCAGCGCGTGCGTGTCCTTTTTAAGCGGCCCAATCGGATCCCTCGCAGGCAGCCAACTCCCCTAGCGAGTCCCGTCCGCCCCCCGGATCCATTGGCTGCGGCGGATTAAAACAGGGTTATAATTGTCGCTGCTGATCTCATAGCGTCAAGATCAACAGTGTTATCGCTGTGGTCCTCTACAGCTTGCGTTAGCCAGCAAACTATGATAGCAAGGCTCAAACTGTGTGACCCTGAACAACGTGAGCTGCTGGATACTGAGCCAACACCGCGGGCTGAAACATCCAGTGACTCAAACTAGAAAAAAATTCCAATCCACAGGATTATCTGGACAATACAGAAACGTTAAATCATTACAGTAATAAAATAACAAAGCAAACTTCCACAATAAATGAATGGGTTTCCAACATAAGACAAAAAACTGGGTTTTCAATGTATAAAAGTGACACCATAGCCTACACAATCGCGGGGAACCAAAAACAAAGCCTTGTTTTGGCTCAGAAAACATGCAAATTGAACTGGAAGTTCAGGTCCGCACCTTAAGAATGGGGAGATGTTTGGGTTCTTTGTTAGCCTGCAATACCTAATACCTGTCTATGGTATTGGGGGGGGGTTGATAGTGGGCAGGAATCAACTCTATCCCTGCATTGTAGGTTTTGAGTCCACGCCCTCTGTTTAAGGTTGTTTTTTCTTTCTTACATTAATGACTTCCTACTTCCCGCTATCCTTGCCTTTAAACTTCTTCAAACTGGAAAACAAAGTCCAGTGGATTTTCTTTTAACTTTTTTGGAATGACTATGACCTGGATGACTGAGAATCTTCATCAGCAAACGCACAGATGAATCAGAAAAACATGAGCTAAAATGGAAGTCTTACTCTTACCTAAGAAGATGGGTGGTGGATGATCTGCTTGTGTTGGTCCACAGGAACTTGACACCTCTCTGTTCTGAAAAGCTTTATCTACTTAGTTCTTGAGTTTTTCAGTCTTGCCAAAAAGTTGTGGATCGCTGCCAATGACTGGTATGGATTGTGGATTTGTAAAGGATTCTTCTTTTTTTTTTTTTTACATAATATATAATAAAATTACATTAAACAATCTTTACTTCCCACGTTTCTTTGTAATATATCTAATATCTAATTCTTTAGTTTTCTCAAATTCTTTAAAGCAATTTCTATTTGTTCTAAATGATATTTTTTACATACTAATATCACACATTTTATTGTTTAATTTTCCTCACAATGGCCACATTTTCCTGTACTGTTTTTATATCTAAAAAGTTTACAATTCAGTGCCATGTGTCCAAATACTAACCCTGTTACTGAGGTTTTCCTCCTTTCTGTTCCTGCTTCCGTTTCCTGTAAAACCATCTCCCTTTACCTTCTCTATTCCATCTTTTCTGCAATTCTTTCTTCAATTGGCATTTGGTAAATACCATCCAAACCTACAGAAGTACCAATACCAGTTCTAATCACAGTGGTATCACTGTGTTTGATTGGCCAGAAAACTGGTCTGACCTGGACCTCATTGAGAATCTATGGAGAATAACGACGGCTTAGAGACGATCTGCAAAGATGCAGAGAACTGAGGTCTTTTGCCTGATCATTGCTCTGTAGAGCTCAGAGTTTCAAAGTGGTTAAAGATCTGGAATCTGGCAAGATTTTAGCAGTGTTTACAAAGTTTAGCTTCAACAAATTTAAAGAAATCGAAAAGTCAAAGTAAAAAGTACAGTGGAATACAACATTTGGCCTATATACTGCATCTCATTCTCATTGTTGTCCTGAGCTCCCTGCTAAAGTTTCCCTTAAAATCTAGGGCTCAATATATTCTTTATATGCACAGCAGTAAAGTACCTATAGTAGAAAAGAGGTACATCTGGGAGAGTTTCTATGTGAAGACCAGAACAACCTGTTATCTGCTAAAGATGTTGAGCAAGATCCAAACAGGTGTTTCTGATTAGTTTCTAGGAATTTTTGCTCCGTTTCTAACAGAGAAAAAAAATGGTATTTTCTAATACCATTTGTGAGCAAGATTTTATTTTCAAAATTGCCTATCTTTGTTACTTCAATACGTTTTGTGTTTGAATGACAGTTTGAATGTGAATTATAACTTTTTATCCAGAAATTCTTGGAAATCCCTTCATTTTATCAGTTCATGAATAAGTGGCCATATTGGCCCCTGGAAGAGCTCCAAGTACTTTCTTATTGCAAGAATTGAGGTTTTCTTACAGTGGATTTCTCAGCATTTCCCTGTTGATCAAAGTCACGTTCTGCTCAAACAGGTTTCATCCCTCATGTGCCAGTCATTTAAAACCATTTCTGAACTTCTAATCACTGATGCTCACTTTATTGTAACTTAGTGGAAACAGTACATGCTGTACATAAACAGTTTGCTCTGGGAACAGTGCTACATTTCAAAGTATCCTCAACCCCCTCTTTTAATATAAAAAATACAGTTTTCTAATAACAAAATCCTTTATTAAGAGGAGATGCAATTAGAACCAACCAAGTCCTGAATAAACAATGATTATTCCCCTTTACCAAAATAAGAGCTAACCAAATTCTTTAAAAATCTACGTAGGTTAAATTTCATCAGCAGCGAGCAGATTTTTTCCTGCCTGTAGAATCAGCCCATTTAAGGACAAATGAAAAGCCTTTAGAAGCCAAGGTAACCCAAAATTAAATACAAATTTATGCTTGCTGTAGAATTAGGTATGACAAAAATGTATTAATTAAAATATGATAAAACAAAGTTTAAAAAACGTTTATTATATTTGAGTTTAAGTCTGTAAGTTTTTAAAAATCACTTTTTTGTCATATTGGCTAAAACTGTCCCTATGCCCAGACAGCAGTACATGTGATATGTAACCTGTGAAAAAAACTGCTTCAATTGGTCCCGCATACTGCCTGTATTTCAATCTGGAAAGAATATTTCGGGACGAGTCAAAACAACCAATCACAGCCAGAGGAGCGTCTGATGGAGTGTCAATCACAGCTCACACACGCTGAATCCGACAGACAGTAGCTCATCATGTCGCAATCTACAAAAATCTATGAACAGATGGAAACCAAAATAACTGACATTAACCCATCTAGAAGGAGGTTTATAAAGCCATTTCTAAGGTGTGGGATGATTGTGAACCACAGACCTGAACAGTGGCCATCCTATCAAAACGTCCCAAAGGAAGCATCAACAAATCATCCAACTGCAGTTCAGAAAAGAGCAACTTATCTACATTAAAACACACTGGTGTTAGAATGAGCTGAGCTTCCCATAGTCTAAATCTTTTGCTTGAATCCTGCTCTTAGCCTGGAGATCCTGAAGGATGTTTTAGTATCTTAAAAAAGTAAAAAAAAATAAAAAAAAAACACAATCCACTGGACTTGTTTTCCAAGTTTCCCATGCAGGAAGCATTTTCAATTCAAAATGTCAGAATTAGCATTGAGTTTGAAGCTTTATGTAGTAGCCAAAAAAATAGTTTTGGCTTAGAAAACATGCAAATTGAACCACCCCTTAGGAATGGGGAGTCCTTTTGGGTTTTTTGTTAGCCTGTAATACTCAGTACTGTTCTATGCCTCTGAAAGGGGGGTCTTTAGGGGCAATTGTTTGGCTTGGCTGTCCAGGCGAGATGTTTTGTCCCCTGCATAGGGGTGGGGAGTTGAAATGATAGTGGGAAGGAATCAACTCTATTGCTGCATTGTAGTTTTTGACAGCTTAAAATCTGAGTCCACCCCATCTGTTTAAGGTTAAGGTAAGTGGCGGCCTAGTGGTTAGGGCATAGGGATTTGAATCCTGAGATTGGGAGTTTGATACCCCACTCTGGGTCCCTTAGCAAGACCCTTAACCCCACACTGCTCCCTGGGTGCTGCACAATGGCAGCCCACTGCTCCCCAAGGGGATGGGTTAAATGCAGAGATACATTTCTCCAATGTGAGATCAATAATGTTCAATTATTATTTTAAACCACCTGTCTTCTTTGTCCAAAATGTGAACATTTGTCCAAAATGTGAACATTCTGGTCCTAGAATGAGCGACCCTTGTGCTTAAGGTGCAAGTGGACAGCAGAGTCCTAAGCAGAGGAGGTGGCGCCTCTGTGTTGAGCCATGCATCTGTGGAGAGGTTGTTTGGTTTCTCCAATATAATGATCAGAGCTTTCCTCACTGCATTGAACTGCAGACACCACTCCGCTCATATTTAGTCTTGGGGTTTTGGGGATGTCTGAGAAACTTAACCAGCAGATGTTTTAGCATCATTTTATCATCTTAACTTTAACCTCAAGTGCAAATTGACCCAAAACACAGCAGTAATTCTTACCTTTTGAATTCCTGAAAAAAGTAAAACCAAATACAATTTTTGTAGTAGAAAATTCCAAGCCTGTACTCCTATCAAATTGAAATTATGTGGCATTATTGCATATAGGCTGTTTATACCAGAGAACCTTCCAATGTGGGTCAGGTAAATCAGATTCCAAAGAAGGCTGAGTAGAAACTGCTCCATAGCGATGTGAGTAATGGTAGTCATCTCCTTCTAAAAGCAGTACGAGTTTTTAAGTTTCCTTTTTCTTCCAAAATGGGCTCAGTTTGGTTTAAATAACGTGTTTCTGTTAAGCAATGAACCCATTATTAAAAAAAATATATTTTTTTTTTTCTAGTAAACTGTATTTGGTGATATTTGTTTGATGATCTAAAACATTGGCTTCCATAATAAATATTCAATACATACTGATTTTATTCATAAATATCTTATTTTAAGTTTAAAAAAAACAAAATAAAGTTTTGAACATATGAGCTTAGCTTTATATGCACCATGTGCAGAGATCATCTGAACAGAACTCTTTCTTTGCTCAGACCAGCTCTGCCTGATGTAGTTCACTTAAGCAAGACACAGGTAATATGTAACAACCAATAACTCAAGTTTTTACCCTTAAAAATTAACATCCTGAACAGAAAGAACTTTGTCTGACATTTCTAACAGACACCAGTTAAAAAATAGAACAGGGTCAATCCAAAAGGTTAAGGTTAGCATGTTTTTAGCATTGCTAAATCAGCTCTCATTCTATGTTTGGAAACAATTGTTCTGCTGGAACCATCAGACCAAAACTGTTTCTCTGATTAACATCAGTAGAGATATACCAAATTTAAACCTATATTCAATATTATTACTGTTGCTACTGCCAGCATTTGATGACTGTATCAAATATATTTCCTCTCTTTGGACACTATGAAAAATAATGATCAAACAGCAGACATTTCTTCTCTACAGCCAACCAACAATAATGAATTGGTCACATGACCAATCCCTATCTCACTAAATATAGGAGACGAAGGGATCAAAATACATGGTGGTTAATAATCGGCGACGCAGTGGGCAGCGCTGCTGTCTTGCAGCAGGAAGGTTCTGGGTTCGATTCCTGGCATGGGGTCTTTCTGCATGGAGTTTGCATGTTCTCCCTGTGAATGCATGGATTCTCTTGCTTCCTCCAACAGTCCAAAAACATGATTGTTAGGTTAATTTGCTTCTCTACATTGTCCTTAGGTATGAGTGTGTGTGTGTGTGTGTGTGTACTCTGCCTCTTGCTCATAGACTGCAAAGATAGGAACTGCCCCCACCATGACTCTGACAAGCACTAAGCAGTAGAAGATGGAGTGATGGAATATCAGCCTACTTTTAATTCAGGGACATGTTAAAAAAATGAGTCACCATGCTCACAGTGAAGCCAAACAAATTCTGGATAGAAGTTCTATTTGCCTATAAGGAAAAGATTCAGCTCTAGGGTCACAAGGATGATATGTATGTTTGCAATAATTAAAGTGAAGCATTCCACTCAAGCAGAGTGGTGGTAGCGGTATACTGAGGGTTTCTCCGGCTGCTAACTGTACCGGTACCTGGAGTAACTACAAATTCTTTATCTTCAGCTCTGATTAGCTTTGGTTCTGGTCTGCGGTGATGCTCAGGGTACTAATGTATTCCATTTGTCCTCATTCAACTGGAACACCCCTAAAAGTAGGAATATTTAAGAAGTCTTAACAACAGCAGTTACCCTTTTCTACTTTATCTGTAACAGTTCATTATTTATGTAGCATTATGTAAATTGCCTGCATAATACTTTTACATTATTAATTGCTGTTGATATGAAAAGAGCAACACTTTTAACTGTGTTTTTGACATTTTCATGGCTGTAATAGTGGCTATAGTGGCCGTGGAGAATAGGAAGGTCTAAAACGGGTGTCAAAGTAGTTCCAGAAAGGGCCGTGTGGCTGCAGGTTTTCTTTCCAACCAAGCAATAGCACACCAGACTCCATTCATCGAGTAATGTTCAGATTGGACTCACTTGATGAGATGACTGGAGTCTAGTAACCTGACTCCACCAGATGGATTTGCTCCATATATCCATCTGGAAACCTTCCGTTGAAGTAATTTTGGGAAGGGGCCAAAATACTGGTTAGCTGATTGGCCTATGTTGGTGATAGACGGGCCAAATAAAC